CAGAGTACTGTTTGATGCAGGTGGGAACGTCGTTGCCGAATGGTGCAAGAAATCGCAGGGTTTGCATATATAGTGATTAAGGTACGACCTCCATTCCTCATTCCTAAAATAGTTAGCATCCTAAGCGTGGTGGCGACCGTATGTCTACAGATTGCCAGAATCGACTCACCGTTTGTCATTTAAAATCCACCGTCCACTGTATCGTAGTACTGCTTGCCTTATCGGCGATCAGGCAGCGCTAATGACAGTCCATATTGTGCTAGCTTCAGACGATCTTCGTGTCAGAGTGCTATTTGGTGCAGGTGGAAACATCGTTGCCGAATGATGCAAGAATTCGGACGGTTTGCAGATATAGTAATTAAGGTACGACCTCCCCTGCTCATTCATGGGACAATCCTAAAATGATTAGCATCCTGAGGGTGGTGACAACCGTAAGTCTGCAGTTTCACAGAACCACCGCGTCGTTAGCCATTCAAAATCCATTGTCCAATGTCTCGTGGTACTGCATGCCTTATCAGTGCCAGCAACTGGCGACCACGTTGTGCTATTGTGCAGATACTAGTACTTTCTCCGGTAACGAAAAAAATCATAAAATGGCTAGCACCCTATATCTGCAGCTTCTCGGAACCACCAGTACTGGGGACATTCTTTTCAGCAATGTTCGAATCTCAGCTAATTTGCGTGTTACCGAGTACGGTTTGAAGCAGGTGGGTACGATGTCGCCATACGGAATATAGTATTCCAACGTGTATCCCTCGAAAAAATATGGTCGAGATTTTGGGAGACTCAGATCTTGCACCCAACGGTGTATTAGTTGATGCAGAGCTATTAAAGAGCTTCCTGTGGAGGACAAGTTTACAAACATGCGACTGGTAGGAAAGAATAGAAAACGTTAAAATTATCGAAGGTCTCAAATTATTTAAACAGGTCTAGATAATCAGGATATATGGAAACCAGTATCTCGTTCTGGGTTTGACCTTTAGCCTCAAGATCTATCACATGATAAAGACTATATAATGTTTTTCGCTGTTGAAGGAAATGTAACACGTCTGCCCCGAAGCAACATACCCTAGATATGAACCTTGAAAGACAACTAGTACCCTAAAGCTACGGTAAACGTTCGTACTAATTACGTGTAGAGATCATTTTGGCCTCACCCAGCCAAGTCATGTCGAGTTGTTTTATACGCTTTCATCCTTTCTTCTCACGTTTAAGTGATTTTTCGCTACTAGGAAAAACCGTACGTCGCTTTCTAGAACAATTGTATCCGCGGTCACGAATTCGATTTTATTAGCGAGGCGCGAATTTGAGCGAGAAAGCTTATTCTTAAATACGAAGCGTCAGGGAATACGGTTGAGTCAATAGTATTTATACATCGAAGTTACGTTTTGGAGTGCCCAGTGCTTTATTTTTCAAGTATATCCGTAGTGCAACTCAGATCCAGTGCTTACATAGTAAATGTTTCAAATCGCTATTTTTTGCTAAAGAATAAAAAGCCAGTCAATACAAGAAGGTGGTAGGAAAGGTTTAGAATTCGTAGGGAATTTTTCATACTTGGTTAAAAGTAACTTCTATCTAAGTGACAGCACTTCCGACGCTTGTGAAATTGCAAAAAAGCCTTCGATTAAGATAGCAGCTAATCATGCGTTTGTTTTTCATCTTGCAGACTTTGACCTCGTTTTCGCACCATTCACCGATGCACCGCTAAATGCGACCTGAAAACTGCATCGGTCAAGCCTGCTACGTTGCCAAATTTCCTACACTCGTCACCTGATTGAAGTTTTTGATACTACAGCGCGTTAAATGTAAATTGCACAGTGATCCATCCCGTTTTAGAAAACTTTCGAGATACTATGTTTTTTAGATGTATGACATTTCTGTCGGTTTGTCCGCTGGTTTTATAACCGACTATAACTGGAGAAGTACCACTCGCGTTCTGTTGAAATTTTCGCACGATGTTACTACTATGCCAAGGACGAAAAAGGTTTATAGTTTTTGCAAGTCTATAAGTCGCGGCGGAGAAACAGGCAAAACACGAAACAAAAATCGCTCATCGATGCAAACAAAAAGCTTCATTGCGGACCTAAATGTCGAACGCTGTGATTATTGAACAAAAAGTAGAGAGCCGCGCCATTTTATAGATGGGATTCCGACCATAACACTTTTCCATTATAGAGGTATTCGAGTCGAGGTACTTTCGGAGATTATGGAGGAAACTGGCCGGGTATTGCGACTTTTTTTCAAAATTCTGAAAAGTTTAACATCCACTTTTAATGTTAGTTGTGTTGTTACTTTTACGATTAATCCCCAGGGTCGCAAAAATAAACTCAATAAACAACTGTCCGACTTCGCTTGTCTCTCTACTGGAAGTGTTATCAGAAACATTTATTTTCGTCGATGATAAGCGTTAAAAAAATGTACGATGCCATAAACGAAATTATCACGATTTAATATTAAACAAGTCAAAACAACCACATCTTTCAAATACGAGTCTCTAGGTCAACATCCATTCCATCACATTATCAAAATATTCAGTAGTTGACATCTGGTCGAAGATTTATGATGCCATTAAAGGTGGGTGCAGATGGACGGGGAAACTGCGCCGCGGACGAAAATGAAGGGCTATAACTCAGCGATAAGATACGCACTTAAGTGAGTTGTTGCAATGACGGTACTTTCTCGGTTAGTGTCGTTAAAAGCCTTTTTATTAACATTACAAATCATGTGGGGTTTCGAGACGTACCTGCGGTTGAGAGGGACGTTTGTTTACGTCGGATTCAGATGACGCTTTCAGCTTTTTCAATGTCTCTTTAGGCCGTACGCACTTTGGGAAGAATTAAGCGTTACACTATTTGTTCTGCGTACCACATTGGTAGAGAGGTTGGGAGATCACCAAAAAATGTTCAGCCGTATCAGTTGGACATTCCGCTTTTTATACTGTGGTTAGGTGTTGTCAGGCATGGCTTCGAGAAGGCCGTACGCAAAGAGCAAGGGGCACTGGACGCCGCCGTAGAACAACAGACCGTGAAGATCGCCGCCTAAGATTATTGGCCTTAAGGGACCGTTTCTCCACTACCAGGTCCATTGCAAATGAATGGTTTGCAGAACACGGAAGACCTATTGGCATGCGAAGTGTTTACCGACGAATGAGAAGTTTTGGCTTGTTTTCATACCAGCCACACTGGGTCCTCCCTTTAACTCGAGAACACCGACGTAATCGCCTTGACTGGTGCAGACAACGGTCACTCTGGGATCAGGAATGGAACAGTATTGTCTTTAGTGACGAGTCTCTTTTTTGTTTAGGCATGCACGATGGTCGTGCCAGGGTTAGAAGGCGACGTGGTGAAAGGAGGAATCCACAGTTTTTTGTTGAAAGACATGTTCATCACACTGTTGGAGTTATGGTTCGGGGTGCTATAGCTTATGGTTCCAGGTCACCTTTAATCTTCATCAGAGGTAACATGAACGCGCAGCGTTATATCCACGAAGTTCTAGAACCCCATCTTTTACCCTATCTTGAAACCCTGGCAGATCCAACTTTCCAACAAGATAATGCCCGATCACATGTTGCAAGAGTCACAATAGACTTCTTTCAACATGATGATGTCACATTGTTACCATGGCGGAATTTCTTAATAGTGAAAAGACATGCTGCAACAAAGTATTGCATTTCAATAATTAGAAAATTACATTTCTCTCTGTTATAACCTCACTGTTTATATTAAAAGGTCAGTAATTATACTGTTCGAACGTTTCAATGATTTTTTTCTTGTTTTGGGGAGTAAAATGCATTCACAAAATGCTAAATGAAAATTATATGAGGGAATGAACGTTGCATATATAAAATGTGGTTTGGGTGTTATTGATAACTCCAGGTTGTATAGCATGTGTTTTCAATTTTAACAGATCTCCGTATATCAAGAATGGGGAAAATGAAGAAGTTAAGTGAAAAAGGAGTACGACAGAAAGAGGCGAGAACAAATGAAAATTAATGCCGAGTCTTTAGAAGCCTTGCGTGAAAAAGAAAGATTAAAGTATTTAAAGAACAAGTTAAGTCAATAAGTCCTCTGCGTCCAAGAGAAACTAGCCAAAAAATGAAAACAATGGAAAAATAATAGTAAAGTTTATAGGGAAAATTATACAAGTTCCTGAGGTTGTAAGAAAAAGACTCATGTACAGAGAAGCGCTATCAACGAACCTGAATGATATCTATGGAGATCTTGGAAGTAAACATGGAGAACAGAAAACATATTACAAAATGTTTGTAGATCGAAACATTTGTTCAAAAACGATACGTACAAAAAGCACTGTACCCATAAAGTTAGCTCCAAAATGCTGAAAGTTAGGGGTGATGTTAATACGAGGATAGCCCTTTAAAGTATAAAACAAATCTCAATACATCTATTGATAAATTAACTTATGTTTTTATTGAAATTCAGCATCAAATTGTTGTAAAAATCATTCCCTTATTCCATAGTTTTTTAAAAGTCATTTTTCTAGATGTTGTACGCAAAAATATGGAGGACCTTCAATTTCAATGAACCTCACTAAACTAAAACTTTACATTTCTGCGAAAAAAGTACATATTTTCATTATTTTTTTTAAGAAGCGCAAAATGAAAGTTCCAAATTTTTTGAGAAAAACCCATGTGAAAATAAAATCTATTCCTTGTTTGCATTGTTACTTATACTCCAACATTAGCAATTGTTGTCTGTTAGTAGCATTAGTTTAATGTTCCGGAAATATAAATAAAATACTTACGCATTTATGCTACAATAGAAACAATAGGTACTTAATTTTTAGTTCCAAGATAACCACACGAAAATGTTTTGTTCACCGTTACAATGTCGTGTGTATCCAAATTGAATTACGAGGTAAATTAATTTTTTAATTGATTAAATCGCTTGAACCGAATTAATCTATTTTATTAGAGAATGTGCTGGAGGTTAGGACCATGTTATCCAATAACCCATAGGCAGATTATTATCGTTTCAACTTACAAGAACACATACACCATGTGGCAGGCTCATGACCCCTGTAAAAAATACAAATAAGTTCTCCAGACAGGTTAAATCATAAAAATATATGGATTTTATGCTTCTCGCAGTTTAGGAGCGTAACAGCTGATTAAAGTCGGCCTTGAACTATGATAGCCCGATCGAGATTCGTTTGGAACCAGCAGAACTTCTACCGTGATCCCTGAATAAATGGTTCTGTGACAGTTTTGGCTGTACCGCAAATGCTGCTTACGCGTCTGCGCAGACGCGAATGATTCATAACCGTTCGGAACTGGTACCGCGACCGAAGCTCTTATACCTTTTTTTAAAACTTTTCCAGCTTTATGAATTTCTGAATCATCGGAAATAAGAAAAAAAAACCTTAAGATATAAGCTCTCTCTGTTTCTTCGTAAATACCGGAGCTACGCATTTTTTTAATGCGTCCCGCTATTGCGCAAACGGAAATACGGAAATCATATCGAAGCAGCAAAATAAGAACACTAAAAACGCCGCCAATATATACGCAATTTTAGATTTTTGTGGAACTTTTGAACATCGGCTACTGTGTAAATCAGACAAAATCTGGCATTTCAGCTCAAGGAGTATTTCCAAAGATTATTTTTTCAACTTATTACTTACAGAAAAAAAGATATGCAGCAGCGCCCCTAGGGGTGTTTATCTCCATACTCGAGGGATTATTTTTTCGCGTTCTGAGAAACTGCCATCCGATCTCCAGACATTCGGTATAATGTATATTTTTATTCTATGCTTCCAATAAGGTACTCGTACTTTTAGAAAGGATATACCACTCATAAGCATATATCTTACCAGCAATAATACTATAGCTTATGCCTTATTGCATTCTAAAGGCATACGTGTCTTTTATGGGTATATTGACATAAGCTCATTTACTATTCCTGCATTTTATGGGTTCGAATCAATTAATTCTGCTTTGATAAGTAATTAGTGGTCGAGCATTAATGCGAGTTTGAGTGCAGAGGCGGGATACGTGGGTTGCGCGAACCGTTTCGTATACCGTGAATACAAAAATGAAGACCGCAATAAGTTGACTTAATAAGAGCAGGCTTCGTCTCTGACGAGAGATCCGGAAGTTATCACTGCTGGAGGATTCAACAATCTAATACAGTGTAACGCTCAAAAACACCGAACTGTAAGTATACCTTGACTACCAAAAATGAGAACCAAGCTACTACTGGAAAAATTTCCAAAATGAGATATTACGTTTTTCGTATGTTACATGTTATATCACCAAAAACCTTGGCACTTATTTCCGTCGCTTTGTCTGTTTGTCTATTTAATCTGTACACTGATCCTTTGAAAGTATGGTATCAATCGGAATTATGATACAAGGTTACTCTACAATGCCAAGCACATAAGAGCTTTATAAAAATCGGCCCACTAGCGGCAGAGCTATGGAAAAAATGGAAAAGCGAAAGTCGATCAAACCTCGTTTCGGAGGCACCTGATCATTCCCAGAAAGAGAAAATGTTTTGATGTTAGTATATTTATAAGCTTCCAACCCCAATGATTCTATGCATCTATTAAGCCGCGAACAGATCGAAAATCCAACGGAGAGCAAACGGATGCAAGCACATGTGACGTTGGCGTTTGTTGTTGGAAGGCATTGGAATGCGCTGGTCTACACCTAAATTTTGTTTCGAGTTCGACCGATTCGAACACCTCCAAATCTGTAACCAGATGTGCCTTGGTTCGCGCTGGAATCTTGATCTGTACGCGGCTTTAGACATATTCGACACATCATAGATGTGTTCGTCTATGGATAATCGAGTACCTGCGTCGCGGACCGACTGATGGCTGTTGCGTAGTTGGTAATGGCTGCCGTGACTGACGAGCGCCGAGGTTAGCAACGGTTTAACGGCACCCGAAGGTATCTTTCTCAGGGAAGGGGGCGATCATCGGCAAGACCTGGTCTCAAAACTTTCTGAAGCAAAAAATATCTGGGATCAGCCATCTGACAAAAAGCACACCTCTTTTTCGTCGCTTGTAGCTTCGACGGTCTAGTAATAGAGCCCCTCTCCACAGCATGCAAATCAATTGGAGGGATACCAGCTACCACGCGCAGCACTATATTTCTTTTCCCTCAAGGCCTTGTTATATGTATATAGGAGCTTCTGCCAAAATTCTGCGTGTCTGCCTACTGGAGCTTCCATCAGTGGAGAACCAACCAGATTCAGGTCTAGCAAGGTACTTTTTACACTTAGATACAGCAATATATACTTTTTCCTTAATAGCCGATCCGGTCGCCTAGGGGGGAGGAGGTGAGGTCTATCGTACGTCCTATTCTTTCGATCGGCTGAAATATTATTTGCCACCCGAATGCCTCCGGATTTTCGCCATAACAATATGCGCACTTTCTACCGCAATCATAATAAACTATCTAGAAGAGTGGGAGGCGCCCAGACACTCGGCAAAGACGTAGGCTCCGTCTTAAAACGGATGTTCAACTTGCTTTGCAAGGCCGGTATCACTCACGTCTCCGTCCTCTGCAATATGTCGGTGCAGCCTCTTCTTTTTATTCTTCTTATTCGCTTGATAATCAGCGAGGACCTCTTGGAGCGTCCTGCAGCTGAAATTTATGTCGTCGCTTGCAGGACGTAGAATCTACCACCGGACGCAGTTTGTCATATATACTTGCACCGTTGGTGCGGCGATATCTTTCACAGAACCATATTTTTCAGGTGTTAAAATATCGTCTTCATCCTAGATTATGTTGTCTACTAGGTGAGTAATTATGGTGTACATAAAACATGACGACTCTATACTTCTTACGCCAACGTCTAAAAATGGAATCTGTGACACTATTATGTTCCAGCGATTTTATTTCCGTCGCCTCTGAATCAGTTTTCAAACTTAGATAGTTGAAGTTTGAGACCCATTGCAAAGTCGGCAGTTATCGGAATAATAGTTACATCGGAATTTTATCATTCAATGTTAGCGTTATTATCAGGATCAGATGCTTCTTGACGTTGAAAGACTTCGACTAATACTAAACATGTCACATTTACAGTCCCCTACAACCCCCATCCCCCAAGTTTCAATCTCTACTGAAAATTCTTCCGAAGATGATCAGGAGCCATTGAAACGTGAAAAAAGAAAAAACGAAGTTTACGCGGTTTTTATTTTTTCGTGATTTTGTTTCTAGCTCCGCCATCACTACACCGATTCAAAAACTACATGGCTTTTCCATCCTTAGCATAGTGAACATTTTAAAAACTTTCGTGCTTACAATACGCCCCCCCCCCCAGTAGGCGTAGGAAGTAAAAAGAAAAAAACTGTACAGAAAAGCAGAAAAACCAGCCTAGAAACCACGCGATGAAGGTTAAATATGTGATGTGCGGTCTACGAAAAACGACGGAAACCTTCCAATTTTCTATCTGCACGATTCGTTTCACCTTCACCACTCGCACTTTTTATGGAACACGAGCTCATTGGGTATTCTCCTTGAGCATTTTAATTAATTGAAGTCTTTTTAACAACTTCTGGCGGTGTCCAGTACGTGCTTTGGGAATCCAATGAACAATTTTGTTTTGAGATGCCTTTTATAGAATGTCTTCAGGTATTAATAAAAATATTTTTACTTTCGTTTATCTTCTTAACTGTCTCTATTTATTATGCATTTAAATTCAAGATTTATGATTCGCCTAGCAGAAAGATGTACTTAATTTTGCTACGGGAATGCGTGAGATTTTTAAAGAAATTACCTCTCACAGTTTTCCAGGAAAAAAATAACGTTCATTATATACATCACAGGCAAAAAGGTGAAGAAGGTGGGGATTTTTTGAAAAACCTTGAAAGTGGCAATACCCCGAAAGCTGGAAAACTTTTACTAAGGTCATGTTGATTTTAACTGATGATCTGAAGCCGATCTAGCTCCCGTGCTATTCTGGGACACCCTGTATATATATAAATACAAGATAAACAAATTTATTGCAAGACGTAATACAACTGCAAGTTCGCCCACTGTAATGTGACGAAAACTTTCAACCGTGTACCGGATTATAAAAAAGTGAAAACCAATGAGAAATCCTTTAAGAAAGCACTCAAAAGTTGGAGAACTGTTCTTATAGCCAGTCAATTTTTTTGTAGTTTTTTAGGAAACTTTATTAATCACATTAAAATTTATTGAATTGACTATTCCTATACGGAGATGTATGTCTATGGAAAATAAATGGCATCGGTTATTAAAAGTCTCAATATTAATCGTACATTGGCAGGAAACAGAAAAAAACAAGCTTCACCAATACCCAAACGCTGCACCAAATTTCCATCTGATGCACAACCATAACAGTCTAGAATGAGTTGGTAAGCTTAGACGAAACAAAGCTCACACTTCCAGAGTCCCTTCCTGTAGTTATAAGTATTTTTAGAGCGTTATTACGTAGTTGTAGCCCCCAGACAGCGACTGAACGAGCTGGTCTAATTATCATATTGCGCCTATCAAGTCTCAATGGGGCCATAATCTAGTGCATAGTTCAGTACTGCCGTATTTAGGTCAAAGGCAGTGATGTGTAAAAATCGAAACCAGAAGAAATCGAGTTCAAAATTCTGGATACTATTTAAATGAATAGTATTATTAAGAGAGAACACGACGCCTAAAATAAATGACGTCTTTAATGTCATAAATCAAAAAGCAGTAACGTGTGATTTACTGCAACAAAAAACAATTTTAGTGCATTTTTTCGTGTTTTCAAAGGAAATGCAAACTGCTATTTTATTTTTACATAATTTGTTCATATCGAAATTCACATAAATAGCACAAAAGTAAAGCAGAATCACGACGAAAATTTAACTTCTCCAGAGTCATAAGCGGTCACACAGTAGGGGTTCCATACTATCCTTGCATACTCTAATTTAGATAACGCGAAGGGGTTGAAAAGCGTGATCATTGCCTCCTTGTTAGTAAACTCCTTGGAATTTTTGTTTTATAAGCAGTCACAATAAGGTTATTGCAAGCTGTGAAAGTAGAGTTATATAAGAAAATATATAAAACGTAGC